GCTCTTTTAACAGATGACACATAGATATATATATATATTCCAGAGCTTCAGCCTTTACATGCATTTCCCTCTCCCTGAAGTCAACAGGACTTTGGCCTGAATTAAGACTCTAGGGAAAGGGAGATATTATAAAACACGGAGACTTAACGCTGGCTGTGTTTGTAAGGTGAAAAATGAAAGACAAATAAAATAGTGTTTGAATGATAGAAATGATAAGATTCCTCATGTTAAAGCATAGTGGGGAGGGCTATGTTTGGAGGGCTCAGCCGAGAAGAAAGGACTGCGTGGTGGTGAGTGGATTATAAAATGCTGAGACAGCCAGAATCCCTGTTAGGACTCCTGTGAAATGCATGTCCAAATCTAAGAGGACTCAGGCAGCAGCAACAGCAGCACCGCAGGCCACATTTTCAATGACTGAACCATGCTTCCCCCTCTCGCCGTCCACCAGTTGTATTAGCTGAAGGAAGGAGCACTCTGGTCCCTTCACTGCTCTTTTAGGCAGTACTCTGGTCCCTTTCTTTAATGGTCACCTTCATTTACGATGCCAAGCTCTGCACCCTCTCTTGCTCATATATGCATGGAATAATGCAACCTGGCTCTTGGTGACATTGTCTGGTGCGACTGCTACACAAGTAGACAAAAGTGAGGTTATCATCAAATGCACTACAGAACATACAAGAACAGAAGCTTTGCTGCAGAAGTTCTGTCTATGGAGGCACTATGGACATGTCTGAATTGTCTCTGCGTCACACCCACAAGCACCACCATGACATGCCATCCCAATTTGCACATGCTACCTTGCAAAAAATGAAGCACCATAGCTATCTTAGAAAGGTGCCCTTAGAGGCTGCCTAGGCAAGCCCTGCATCATCCCACATGAGAAAAGAACATTACTCAACTTTATATTGTGCCTTCATCCAGCTTTCAGACCTTGTCCACCTAAAACCAAACCCTTGGCCATGCCAAGAAGCTGCAACTCTGAGAAGCTCCTCAGCCGTGAACATTTCGGCAATTAGCCTGGGGCCCTAATTATAGTACCAAAAATTGGAACATCCCTTTTCTGCACTTTCAGAAGCATTTTTTGCAGGTTTCAAGCCTTTCTAATTGAATGGGCATAAAAGGAATCTCTACTGCTGATGGGTCTGTCTCTATATTATTAGCTTGCTTTTGTTTCTGCAAGCTATCTTAAAAATATAGTTTAAAAACATGAGGCCTGACCTCTCCATCCCCCACCTCCCTTTAAGAGATGGCAATCACTTCACCACCTTCTGAAACTCTGCAATGTGCTGTTGAAGGGCAAAGCACTCAACTGATCTCTTCTGCAACTCTTTGGTCCCACACCTTCCATGCTGATGTCCTATGTTAAGTAATGAGAAGCAAATCAAGCATCTGTTCTCAGTCTCTGACATCTCCTGAGTCTAACAACAAGAGTTTTCAGGGGTGTACAGCTCAAACTTCGATGTCCACTTCTGCAAGGTGAACTTTTCACCAAAGGACTGCTACTAGCAGGATCTACACCGATCCTATATAAGCCCTCATTGCACTGAGAAGCAAGAAAGCAAGCCATGCGTGCAGGCACATGCACAGATTAACACACTGCTGTACTTTGAGGACATAGGGCTCATTGCTCTGCCTTTTAGATCTATTTTTGTTTCCTAACGATTTAACGAAGAATTATGGCAGGCCACTGGAACTCCCTAGTGGACTGCATGCAGGCCACAGCCTGTATGTTGTACACCACTAACACAGATTGAAATCCATTTTGAAACAGAGAAAAAGGGTGGTGAGGCAGTTCATTAAAAAGCCACACCGCTAAGTATAGGCCTAAGAATCAACAGCACAAATGCAAAAGGTCATTCAGTCTATGGCCGCGGGTGAAATTCTTTTACATCAGAGACTAATATACTCTCTGCACAATGTCACCACTATGGGCATATCTAAAAAGACTGTGCAGTGGTATGTAGGGATACTCAAGTTAATTTAAAACATGCCACCTTGGCTACTGGAGACAGTATAGCTGCATTAACATGGCATTATTTGTGAGCTAATTATTTTGGAGAAGAATGGGGGCACAGTGCTGAACACAGCTACGATGTTCCTGGAACTGGGATCACTTGGTCAAAGCTAGCTTGGGTACCTCCACCTGGCACCGAATACTGCTGTTGACATAAGCTGTAACCCTTCCAAGGAACTAACCAGTCTTTCAAACTAGTTCGGTCTCAAGCTTACAAACTCTAATAAAAGGGTGTGATTACTAATAACACTTTCTATTCCATTGCCTGAGTTCCAGGTCAAGACTGGAAGAACAACTAAAAATTACTTCCAAATTCTGCTTATGACTAGCATGTCTGAAATATTTTTCAAAGAAAAAAACAGTTCACATTTTACCAACCAGTTGCTTAACAACAGCTGCAGCTAGCACAGTATAAATTGAGTCAAAAGACCAAACAGTTCAGTTTGCTATCAATACATCACTGGGGCAAGACTTCTACCAACATGTGTCCTTGGTCTCTAGAGTTTCATACTTTTAATCTTAAGATATTCTCTTGACCTTGCAGAGACGCATTTTCAGATCATTGCTAGGGAGACGCATATATAAAGTCACTAACGAGTCTTAGCAAGTTTCACCTGTATTCCTGCTCCGCATTAAACATCACTGAATAAACAGGAAATAACTACATGTCTCCACTGGATTTTAAGAAGAAATGCTATGGCCCTACTGCAATGGTAAAAAAATAAAATAAAATTGCTAACTTTAACTCAAGTAGAAATTGTGCTTTGAAATAGGTAAAAAGCAAGTCTTAAGTGAGGATAACTGAGGAACAGCAGGCATGAGATAGCTCCTCGAGTGCATCTTCACTTACAAAACTCGGGTTAGGTTCTGTTGTGGAGCTGCCATTGCTAGCACCAAGATCTGAACTTAACATTTTAAAACTTTACAAAAATCTTAGACTCAGGAGTTGGTATGAATCAATCTTCCAGAATGGTCTCTGTTTTTTCCCTTTCACTCTCTCTCCTAGATGGGCAGGCTATATATGGCTACTTTTGAAGACTGCCAATAAGAGATTCAGATATGCTCTATGGCAGTGATTTTCAACCAGGGTGCCACAGGGTAGTAAACAGGTAAACGCAGGCTCAGGCTTGAGTGGCTGAGCCCTCACTCAATATATAAATTATTTCTTGAAATTGGGTGCCTCTCAATTCACAAAAGTTATAGAGACAAGTCTCAAGTTCAGAAAGGTTAAGAAACACTATTCTAGGAAAACCAGCAAACTTTCCAGCTCCCAGTCCCCTATGTAAATAACTCCTGAACATTTTGCTGCTCTTAATATGACACAACTCATATTAATATGACACAGCTCAGCGTGACTACCGATTTTCCCTGTTTTAGGTATAGTCCATCTTGGGGTAGTTAAGAAAATACTGGAAAATACCACTGAATGCTCGAAGGGAGAACCCATCGGTGACGCTTCCGTTGGCCCAGCATCGTATTTTCCAAGACACGTGAAAACAAAGTGAATGTTGTTCTGTGTTTACAGCAAAGACCGGACAGCAAATCTTCTGAGTGCAATATTAATATTAATTGAGGAAAAGACATTTTACCAATCAGTTCTCTTTGCCGAGCCTCAATTCATCCATCCACAAAATGGGTACAAAGCAAAGTTCCCAACTTTGGACAGCTGTTGGAAGAGTTTGCTACATTTGTAAAATGTAACATTAATTTTCATCTTAATAACTAGACCTCATGGAAAAAGATCTAGTAGCTGGTCTTAGTCCAACAACATGTCTAGCTTCCATTTCAGTAAGTGCTTGTGTCACTTATTTTAGACTATGCTTTTCTTTGGTAGTTTATTCCATTTATTAGTCACCCTCACAGATACCAAGTTTGTAGAAAAACAGGGAGAAAAGATGATATTGTTAATCTGAACACCCTAAATAATTTTATTCTCTAAAGAACCCCCCCCCCCAACACGTTAAGATCCTTGTGACACCTGTTAATACTATTCAATAGCTTTTGGAGGAAAGAAGCAATTTCTGAGAGAAAAGTTAACTAGTAACAGATCCAGTATCTCAATCAGATAAACGTATCACAAGAGTTGACTCAGCAGCCAAGGATGCCAAAAAACATTCTGCCTTTTCTATAATACCTCCTTCAAGGTCATTTAAGAGAGGTATCCTAAACGTCACAGCACTTTGGGGAGGAATATCAGCTACTTAGGTTATTTCCGCCTATTATATCCATTCAGCTATACCCATGATTCTTAAATAATAGGAATAAGAACCATTTACCATTTTTATTGAGGTATCCCCTGAACACTTCGGCCAAGCTGGGTTTCATTGTGTTCAATATTGTATAAACAATAATGGATCAGTTTGAGAGAGACGAGATGTAACAGGTGGCTTGGATAAATAATATGCTTGGGAGCGCGACAGCATTACAAATGATGCGTGGTGCACAACATTCCTTGTATAACAATCGTCCCCCCGCTGTCCACAGAAAACTACATTCGTGTTAGGATATCAATATCTGCTCCTGTAAAAATCATTCCAGTTTTGCTGATTTACAAGCCCTTAATGTGGGGATCACAACCAGGCAGAAGGGTTCTTAGGAAACAAGGTTTCTCTATCAGAATGGGTCTGGACCTAGGATTAGTACACAAAAAGTACCTAGATAGGGAGAAACTCCAGCCACAATATATCACTGTGGATAGTAGATGAGATGGGCTCCGGTGCAGTCTGGGTAGGAGCA